GCGTCAAGACGTTCAACGTCTCGACGGCCTTGTTAACCCTTGTGTCTACCCCCGCAGACACACCATGAAGAGTCTCGGTCCCCAACCGAGACTTGCGCAGCGTTGTGTGCTTGCGCCGTCGCTTCTTCAAGTGAATCCCTGATTCACTTACGTTTCGTCCAGGCCCGACCATGGACGAATGTACGCAAGCTTTAGTGCTGGACGTTTGCAACCGTCCACACAGCTTGTCGCATCGACTCTGGGAATCGATGCTTTGTCGTCACCTCTACGCCTTGCGGCGGGGCAGTGTGTCGCAACTCCCAGAACTTGACACACTGTTGTCACCTCGACGCCTTACGGCGGAGAACGTTCTAGAAGTGTCTGGTCCCTGACCAGACACTCTTTTACTGTCAACAACTCCCGGAGTCGTTACAGCTCGCGCGCTCCTCGTGCTCCAACTGGAGACAGCGGCGCGAGCCACTGTCTATGAAGGAGGTTCGGATGCACCGTTAGGTGTATCCGCTGCACTAACAGGGCCATCGCTCTCTATTGCGCCGCAGCATCCGAAGCGTACAACCGTATGCTTCTCCCAGTCGATTGTAGGATCATGCCGTGCAAGCCACGGCATGCCCAACACCATGTCGAACTTGTCGTCCAAGTCCAGGACGAGAAGTTCTTCTACAAACACCCGGTGTACTAGAAGTGTGCGCGAATCACGCTGTTCTCGGTCTTAACGATGGCACCCGTTGCCAATCGTACTTCCAACTGACTTCGAGGCACATGCTTGTCCTCGAAGTCCAACAACGATAGACTTTGCTGTCGAACAAAGTAGTTCGACGCGCCCGAGTCCACCAACACCCGAAGAGAGTCCGCTCTTTTCGTCATCGACTTCGCCTTCAAGATGACAAGGTTAGACATGTCATCTTGCACCTTGCAGTGAGATTCCCTCTCACTGGGGGCTGCAGTCCTCAACATCGCGTGTCCGTTGTAGATACGCATGACTGCAATAACCAGTAGGGCACCCAGTATCGTCACGTCGATCTTGGCTTGAGTGTACTAGTGCCGTACACTCACGTGCGTAGTGACCCATGTTTCAGTACCGGAAGCATCGCGCGTTACTTCACTTGTTCTTCTGCTGTCCGACAGCAGATGTATACGAAAGATCCTTTGGTTCAGGACCTTCCGTCTTAGCAGCCGGTCGAGGCGGGCGTGGCACGTTCGTGTGCAGTTTAGCCTGTTTCAGGCTAAACCCTTCTTGCATTGCGAGAGTAATCGCAGCTTCGAGAGTACCCGGGTACTCTCGGAAGAGATAGGTCTTCACAGGCTCATCTCTCAACCCCTTCATGAACGTGACGGCCTTGGTCGCCTTGTTCATCGAGTCGGTCACGACGTTTGAGACCAAATACCGAACCCGTTGAGCGTAAGCTTGTACATCATAGTTACCTTGTTGCAGATCGAGAAACCCCGCTCTCGACCGGAACTCGTTCTGCCGGGGCTCAAACGCGAGTTTGAGCTCCTCCTTGAAGGACTCGTACGTGCTGAAGCACGTAGGATCAGTGAGTCGGCACCCATAGGTCCAACTCCTCGCACGTCCGCCAAGACAAGACATGGCGAAGGCGACTTTCGCCTATGGGTCGACGAGACGACGAGCCACTACGGCAGTGTCAAGTTCGACAAGCCAGCGGAGAAGGGTCTCGCCTTCTCGGCCCATGTAGTTACTGACACGTAACTTCAGGTATGCTTTCCGCGGTGTCTCCCCCGGAGGCACTGGCTTTGCGGAAGCAACCTCGCGTTGCTCTCTCATGATGAATCCCATAGCAACACCATGTTGTTCTGTCGGCGATAGCGTGCGTAGCATTGTCGCTACGGCCGCCTCCCCAATGACTGTTGACAGTCGTTGGAGCGCCTCCCACTCTGGATCCGCCAGGTGGGGGCAGTCTGTACGCGCCACATGCGTAGCAGACGTGTTCGGGCTTCCGACAGACGACCCGTCCATGGGTGGGTCGAGTTGGATGACGTAGCGGTCCTAGGATCATTCTTTCGACGGTCAGTCCTTGACATTTGTCACTTGTAATCGAAAAAGCGGGTGTGAGTGGTACTTGATTGATAGTTATGTTGAATGATCTGGTTGTCATCTGGACTTCGACGCTTTTTCAGTTCGTCTTAGTACCGGGACAAGCCGTTAGGAAATTCTGGGAAGAATGGAGTTTCGGTGTGATCTCGTAGCTTGACATAGATAACGTCAGGAAGGTGTGAGTCAATTTTACGTTCAAAACCTTTATGGGTTTGAGTTCTTGAAGTGTCTTTGGGAGAACATTCAAATCCAGCAACGTATCCAATCGAACCATTTGAGAGTTTAATTTCTTGAGAAACATTTTTGGTGCGCTGCACAGGCATTCCAATTGCAACCATGAACAACACTGGCATATTTGCTGTCTTGTCATCTTGGATTTTTTGCAAATTTTGCTGTTCTGATTGAGGTAGGTTTTGTTTTTTTCGGGCAGACATGGCAGGGAATTGGTGCGCCGTTTGGTGGTGCTGGCTGCAAAATTGAATTACCGATTCAGCATTGAACTCAACCTGAAGTGCATTTGACGTGACAATAATCGGCAATATCCAGCCTATATTTCTGAGTGTGACGAAGTGGGTGAACACTTGACCGCCCAAAGGTGTATAG